GCACAGATTTCAGTTCAATAGCTTTGTAAACTAAACACAGCCAGTTGGGACCAGTTTTGTAGATGATTTGCATGATTATGATGACGCTTATAATGATTAACTATTTTTCTGTTGTTGTTTTTATGATATTTCTTTAAGTTGCGCTTTGCGATTAATGGCTGTCAGAAAAAAAGTGAAAACCTTTATTGGGTTGATTGATTATTTTGATGAGGTATGATAAAAGCGAACAAGTAAAAAAGCTGTAAGTTCGGCCAGGTCGAACTTTCATTACCTTCCAACATTTGGAACGAATTTGGCAATTTTCAAAAAAAAAAAAAAAATTAATAAAATAAATAAATAAAAAATAATAAAAAAAATAAAAATAAATTAAAAAAAAATAAAAATTCTGTTAAAAATCGGCCGGGTCGAACTTTGAATACCCTCCAACATTTGGAACGAATTTGGCAATTTTCAAAAAAAAAAAAAATAAATAAAATAAATAAAAAAATAATAATAAAAATAAATAAATAAAAAATAAATAGAAATTCTGTTAAAATCTTAAAAAATACCAAATGTAGTCGTCATATTACGACGACGTGGACCTGCATAGGCATATTTTGACATAAGCCATTACAATATTCAAATGCGAAATTTGAAAAAAAATCGTTGAATAAAGTCATCAACATGCCGAACACCGTAGACCTGCACAGACAATTTTCTGTCATAGGCTGCAGTATCCATTACGAACTTTAAATACCAAAGTTGAAACAATTCCAGAGAAAAATTTCGGTAAAATCGTCAAAATACCGAATTTCGGGGGCTACCGTTATATGGAGGCTATACGAAGACGTGGACCTGCAAAGACAATTTTCTGTCTTAGGCTGTAGTATCCATTACGAACTTTGAACGCGAAATTTAAAACAATTCCGATGTCGGGAGATACCGTTATATGGGGGTTATACGAAGACGTGGGCCTGCACAGACAATTTTCTGTCATAGGCTGTAGTATCCGTTACGAACTTCAAATGCGAAATTTGAAATAGTTCCGGTAAATAATGTCGCTAAAATCATCAAAATACCGAAAATCGAGAGCTGCCGTTATATGGGGGCTATGAGGAGATGTCGACCGACACAGACAATTTTCTGTCATAGGCTGTAGTATCCATTACGAACTTCAAACTTGAAATTTGAAACAATTCCGGTGAATAACGTCGCTTAAATCATCAAAATACTGAATATTGGGAGGTACTGTTATATGGGGGCTATACGAAGACGTGGGCCTGCACAGACAATTTTCTGTCATAGGCTGTAGTATCCATTACGAACTTCAAATGCGAAATTTGAAACAATTCCGGTGAATATTGTCGCTAAAATCATAAAAATATCGAATATCGAGAGGTACCGTTATATGGGGGCTATACGAAGACGCGGACCTGCAAAGACAAGTTTTTGTCTTAGGCTGTAGTATACATTACGAACTTCAAATACCAAAATTGAAACAATTCCGGAGAATAATTTCGGTAAAATCATCAAAATACCGAATATCGGGAGATACCGTTATATGGGGGCTATACGAAGACGTGGACCTGCACAGACAATTTTCCGTCATAGGCTGTAGTATTCATTACGAAATTCAAAAACCAAATTTGAAACAATTCCGCTAAACTCATCAAATGACCGAATATGGGGAGGTACCGTTATATAGGCGCTATACGAAGACGTGGACCTGGACATTTTCTGTCATAAGCTGTAGTATCCATTACAAACTTCAAATACCAAATTTGAAACAATTTCGGTAAATAATGTCGCTAACCGTAATATGGAGGCCTGCATGACATGGACCTGCATGACCTATTTTTTTATATATTATGTGGGACAAGCTTAAGATACCCTCCATACTATGGTGGAGGGTATAAAAATATAGTTTTGAAAAAAAAAATCCATGGTAGAATTAAGAAGGTAGATACATGCAATTGTATTTTTTAAAAAATTTTCCTAAATTATTCATTTGACATCTCATTGTTAATTTTTTTTTTTACAAATCCATTGTCTAATTTGATTCTGCATTTTCTGTAATATACCTTATATTACAGCAAATGCAGAGATGGCTAGAGATATGCTTACTTGAGATGACTTTACCTCTTTAATTTTGCCATGAAAAAAATCTAAAGTTTCCTAGCCTTTGGTGTTATTTTGTTCGTGTCGTGTCCATCCATTCACAGAGTCCAAATCTATTTCAAGTTTAAATTGTGACCTCGAATTGGATGCCCTTTTTTGAGACTATTTTTGTTTTTGAACAATTCCATAGTAGAATATTAACAAATTACCATAATGCCATACAGACAGCAACATGCATAATTCTAATAATAATTTATTTATGCTCAATCAATTAATAAAAACATACAAAAACAAAACACCCTACCTTGAGTTGTTGTAACAAAACCAACAACAACGGCTGGCAAATACTAAATGGACACGTTTATTTTTCTTTCTTGTAAAATTATGCCTCACTGATAGTTGTGAGAGGGAGAGAGTGAGGAAGGAAGAGCATGAGAGCAAACCTCTTCGCTGTCAAACAACGTCATTCAAAGCCGAGAGTAGAAAACACAGTAAACAAAATGGACAAATTTAAGCAATTTATTTGACGAGGAACCTTCTCAGTTATTCCCCTACTAACCAACAAAACACCAGAAAACAAGCGCGACCAATGACCACAACGAAATGGTAACTGCCGCCACCACCATCAACAGAATCGTCGGTCACATAAACTACACTGGCCATAACACAACAAATAAAACGTCCCATAATCCAATAACGATGTTGTTGTATGCGACGATGACTTACGACGATATTGGTGGGTATTTTATTTAACCGGTTTTGGGCAAGCTTTTCCTTAAAAAAATGACGACACGGCGAGAAAAAAATTGGATAAAAAGATACGGATGGTAATCCTTATCTCTTTCGCAAAGAGAAACAAGTAAAAAACATTATGTTCGGCTGGGCCGAACTTTAAATACTCTCCACCGTTGGGTAAAGGAAACTTTTTATATGTAAAAGTATCTGAATTCAAATGTGCTCCACTTTAAACTACAAATACCAATAAGACCGTTTGGATAATGCTGTTATATGGGGGTCATACCAAAAGGGGAACCTCTATAGACAATTTTATATTTCAAGGATTGACATCTACAAAATCTTCTTAAATACCAGATTTGAAACAATTTCGTGGGTAAATCCGACCATGATTATTAAAATACCGAATATTGAAAAAGTGCGCTATTGGAAAAAGTGCACCCAAATATTAAATTTTCTGCCACCGGAACTAGAATCCTTTTCAAACTATAAATACCAATTTTTGGACAAATCCGTGAAAAAGTGTGGCGAAAATCATGAAAATACCGAATATCGGCAGGTACCGTTATATGGCGGCTATATAGTTATTCGTGGTGGAATTCAAGCGTGGTAGTGTTATTTCTTTATATTTGGCTGGAAAATGTTTGGGCCCCATCTATCGTTACCGTGATACTGGTAGCGTAGCCCAACGTCAATGAAGTGGACAGAAGAAAACAACAACATCAGCAAAATTGGTTCGAAAAGCAAAGAAGCGTCTTGATCGAAACCCACGTCGCAGTGGTCGAAAAATGGCTCATGAGCTGGAAATATCGCAATATTCCATTCGGCAAATATTGAAAAATGAGCTCGGGGTAAAGCCATTGAAATTCCGAAAAGTGCAAGAACTTACATCGCAACAGAAACAGAAAGAAAATAGACTCAAAAGAGCAAAAGAGTTGCTTCGCTTGGCCGAAAGTTTTGAACTACCGAATTTGGTTTTCTCCGATGAGAAAACATTCGTTGTCCTGCAATTTGTAAACAAACAAAATGATCGTGTTTACTTGCCAAAGAGGTCAGCTGAAAATGTGCACCTTCAGGTGGCCACCAGAACTCAAGCCGGCCATGATGATGGTGTGGGCCGCGATAACAGCCAAGGGTCGCTCTCCGACCGTGGAATCAGAATAAAAGCCGAATATAATCGCGAAAATATTCTGGAGGGTGTATTAAAGTCTTGGGCAGGCAAACATTTTGGTCTCAGACCTTGGACATTCCCACAGGACTCAGCACCATCGCACCATTGCACTCAGCACGCGCCACCCAAAAAATGGTTACAAAATGAGGTTCCTCGCTTCATTTCCAGGGCACAATGGCCACCAAAATCTCCGGATATCAATCCGTCGAACTATTGTGTCTGGTGTATTTTGGAAAGCAAGGTTGGCACTAAAAAAATACCAAAGTGTCGATCACCTTAAGCAAGCGCTTTGCCGGGAATGGCCCAAAATACCGCAGAGAAACACTCGGGCAGCGTGTGACGGTTTCATTGGCCGTTTGAAGGCCATAATTCGTGCCAAAGGTGACCAATTCGAAAAAATCTAAACATTTGCTAAAATTTGATGCTATTTCCGACACTCTTTGCTTTCATTCAATAAAATTTAAAGCAAAAACAAGTAAAAGTAAAAAAATAAATATCCTCCACCATTTGGAACGAATTTGGCATTCTCAAAAACCATAAAATCCGTTAAAAATTCTGTTAAATTTTAAAATACCGTATGTAGCTGTTATATTAGAGGTAGTTTTTGTCATAAGCCATTAAAAAATCGTCAAAATACCGAATATCGGGAGGTACCTTTATATGGGGGCTATACGAAGACGTGGACCTGCATAGACAATCTCCTGTCAAAGGCTGTTTAATAATGTCGCTAAAATCATCAAATCCGAATATCGGTAGGTACAGTTATATGGGTGCTATACGAAGACGTGAACCTGCACAGACAATTTTCTGTCTTAGGCTGTATTATCCATTACTGATACTATTTTACGTGCTACCATAGTCTCTGCTGGTCGTTTTTAAAAAATCTCATCTTCAGAACGGAACTATTTGAAATGTGATTTTTGTCCAATTCATCTTCTTCCCCATTCTTCTGATAATCTTCTCACATTTTTGTTTAATCATCAACATTTGCGGCTGACAAGAATTGCCATTGTGTTTTTTTTTAACAGTGTAGCTGTGCGTAAAGCGTTCGGTATATAAAGACTTACAAAAATCCAAAACTGAGTACAATATCGTTGAAGCTTTTAAACCTAACAGTTTAGCCCAAGAAAGTAAGTCAATTTCCTAGAGTGTTTTTTTGGTTTTGGTTTTCTGCTAACGACAGAAGCTGAAAATAATATTCAAATTAAAAGAAATTTGGAAGAAAAAAAAATAAAACGGCAGTGGAAAAAAAGTGTTTAAATTAAGTGATTATTATTTTCTGAGAATAGAATTCAAAGGAAATTTTTTGGAAAAAAAATTAAAAAAAAAAAAAAACAAATAAAATAACAAAGGAAAAATTGGAACAAAGGTGGCATAAAAGTGATGATTTATTGAAAATTAAAAAATATTTATCTTTCAATAACCTTTGGCAAACATATCCTGTGTGAATCTTATGAGACGCTCCACTCGCGGCGAAAGTAAAAATTTTGTTAATTTTATTAATTATGCCCACCCCAAGGCAGATGGCCGAAACGTGTTTTTCTTTTACCAATTTTTATGCTGACCCGTTTAATTTCTTTTTCTAAATCAAAGACACGATTTTGCTGTGTTTGTGTGTGCGCGTGCTTGTGGCCCAATTGATGACAGACAGTCCCAAATAAGTTTGCATCTCAAAAAAAGACAAAAAAAAAAAAAAACTACAAAACGCAATGAGAAAGTTACAACAAAAACAAACCTTAAATGTGAGCTAGAAAAAGCATTTTTTTCTCTGTCACCGCTTATGTTTTATTTATTAACAAATTTTGTTTGGCAAATTTGTTTATCGCAACGATATTGGCAAAGAAAGGAAGAGAGAAAAAAGAAAAAAAAAATAGGTTAATAAATGACAGTTCAATGGTCCAAAAATTAAAAATTTAAATTTCAAATGAACCTTTTGCTTTTCAATTTAGTTTTGATATTTGAAAAAAAAAATAGAATTATGTTTTTTTTTTAAATAATTTATTCATTGCAATATTTAATATTCTTAATTCTTTTAAAAAAATTTTTTTTTAAAAAATTAAAAAATAAAAAATTGGGGAAAAAAATTAAAAATCCACAATAAATGTGGAATAAATAAGAAATAAAATATCGACGAAGTATGTTTTTAGAACTCAAATTTGGATTTTTTTTATTAAAAAATTACTTTTTTTAACTGAAATTAGGAGTGGTCCAAATTTTATAAAAAAATTATAAATTTCAAAAGAACACATTTTTAATATATTTTTGTTATTAGAAAATAAATTTAAATAAAAGGTTATGATTTTTGAAATAATTTATTCATTGCAAAATTTAATATTCATAAAAACGCTATTGGGGATTTTTTTTAAATTATATTTTTTAAAAAATCTTGAATATAGGGTTTTAATAATAATTAAAAAAAATCACAAAAACAATGTGTCAATATTCTCTAAGAAATTGAGAAGATTTCTTTAAAAATTAAAAATTGTTAAAAAAATTAACAATCCACAGATTAAAAATACAGTCTTCCCAAATAAGACAATTAGTATTCAGAAAAGTCAAAAATTTTTTATAGTTGCTATTTTTAAAGATTTTTTTAATTAATATAAAGAAGATGAATCGTGGTAATTTTTAAATATTGTTTTAATCGTAGACTTTTTTAAAGATTTTTTCCAACGATAATTTTTTGAAGTTTTTTTTTTTTCAAATGTTGTTTTAATCGCGGTTTTTTTATAGATTTTTTATTGTTGTTTTTTAAAAATATTTTTTTGATTTTTTAAAATATTTTTTCCAACGTTGATTTTTTTTAAATATATTTTTGCAACGATAATTTTGGAATTTTTTCTTTAATCGTGGACTTTTCTAAGGTTTTTTTTTGTTTTTTATACCCTCAGCCATATGGCTACAGAGGGTTTATATAATTTGATACGGCCAAAACGTGCCTAGTCGAAATAACGGTTTTAGACCCTAGGTCTCTTTAGACCAAATCCGTTTCAGAACATTTGGAGTCGTTCTAGCGATGTCCGTCCGTCTGTCTGTCTGGGTGGCTGGTGCGCACGATAACTCTCGAAGGGAGTATCCGATTTGGTCCAAATTGGCTACATCGTAATTATTTTTGTCAAAATTAGATCGAGTTCGGAGATGGGCAATATCGGTCAACTCCGTCTGGTACCTCCCCACAATAGGGCGAAATTTTCAAAAAATATATTTTTTGCACAGAAAGAGAAAGGATAATCTGAATTTGCTCTAACTTTGCAAATCCTAATATTTGCGTCAGTGCTAGGTCAGGTGTGAAAATGGACAATATCGGTCCACTCCATCAAGTACATCCCTCACAAAGGGACAACATTTTAAATAATTACAACTCTTATAAAATATTGTGTATGAGTCCGATTGTCTGCAAATTTCACACATCCCAATATTTTTATTAACCCAAGATCTGGCGTTAAGATGGAATACGTCGGTCCACTCCTTCCGGTACCTCCCCCACAAAAGGTTGAAATTTTCAAAAAATATATTTTCTGCACAGAAAGAGAAAGAATGTTCCGATTTTGCTCGAACTTTGCAGATTCAAATATTTGCGTCAGTGCTAGGCCAAGTGCAAAAATGGACAATATCGGTCCACTCCATCAAGTACGTCCCCCACAAAGAGTTAAAGTTTTGAATAACCAAAACGTTTATAAAATCCGAAATAAGCATCAGGATCTCTTTATATTTGACACATTCCATTATTTCTACTAAAGCATGATATTTTGTGAAGATGGGATATATCGGTCCTCTACTTCTGGTACCTCCCCCTCAAAGGGACAGAGATCAGGCCATTTCTTGTTGTACCTCACCCACAAAGGGTCACAATTTTCAATACATTTCCAATACATTTATTTATCTAACGAAACAAGTCAGCGATTCTTTACAATTTGCTATATCTAAATATTTCTCTCAGCCAGAACCTTGGCATGAGTTAGGGCCGATATGAAATGGACAATATTGGTTCAATCCAGTACCCACTCCATAGAGGGTGAAGAGATTCAATAATCATAACAGAAGTAAAAATATATTTCAATATTCAGGGTATACGTCTGTCGGCAGAACCAATTGATAATTTTTAACGATTTTTTCAATCATGGATTTTTTAAAATTTTTTCCAACTTTATTTTTTTTTTAATGTTTTTAATCGTGAATTATTTTAAATATTTTTTCAACATTGACTTTTTAAATCGTGGATTTTTTAAATACTTTCTTCCAACTTTGATTTTTTTAAAGTTATTTTGTTCGACTAAATTCTTTGAAATTTCACAATTGGAAAAAATCTTCAAAATCCAATAATTGGAGTTTTAAAAATTTTATTTAATCGTCTTCGTTCTTTTAATCGTAGTTTTTGTAAATATTTTTAATCGTGGATTGTTTTAAATTTTTTTCCCAACTTTGATTTTTTTAAAGTTTTTTGTTAGAATAAATGCTTAGAAATTCCACGATTCGAAGAAAGTGTTCAAAATTCCATCATAGGATTAAAAAAGTTTTTTTTTTAATCGTGGATTTCTTCAATCATTTTTTTATGGTGAATTTTTTAAAGATTTTCAATCGTGGATTTTTTTTAAATATTTTTTAATCATGAATTTTTTTTTAATATTTTTAAATCGTGCATTTTTTAAATATTTTAAATCGTGATTTTTTTTAAAGTTTTTTTTTTAATTTTTTCTCAACGTTTATTTATTATATTTTTAGGAAAAATTCTTTAAAATTTCGCGATTGGAAAAAATCATCAAAGTCCCATGATTGGAGTTTTTTAAAAGTTTTTTTTTTAAATTTTTTAATTGTGAATTTTTTAAAATATCTTTCCAACGTTGACTTTTTTTTAAGATTTTTTTAACCGTGGATTTTTTTTAAATATTTTAGTCGTGGATTTTTTTAAGATTTTTTTTTTAAGGTTTCATTAATCGTGGATTTTTTTTTAAATATTTATTTCCAACGTTGATTTTTTAATCGTGATCATTGTTAATGTTTCTTTTAATTATGAATTTAAAAAAAATATATATTCGTGAATTTTTTAATCGTGGATTCCTTAAAATATAAATCCGATAAGAAAAAACATTTTAAAATCATACGAATGAAGAAAATAACAATTAAATTAAAAAAATTCATGTTATAAAAAATACTTCAAAAAATCAGCGATTAAAAATTCTTTATAAAGGTTCACCATTAAAAAAAATTCTTAAAAAGTCCAAGATTAAAAAAAAACTTCCACTTCAAATTAAAAAAATAATAATAAATTGAATTTTTTGAAACCTCCTTGGATGTAGGAAATCCATCTCTAGCAACTGATTTCCAAAGCGTTTTCCATCTATTATTTCCTCAACAAAAGCTAGAAATTCCAATTCTGATGATTGAATGTTCTGAGTTGGAACCTAACAACAACAACAGCAAAAAATTCAAATAATTATTAAAAATTATTTGCTGTTGTTGTAAATGACCAAATTGAACCAAACACTGCATGGCCGTCGTATTGTTGCCATGGACGTCAGCTTGAAGTGATTTTTAGTTTTTCAAAACGATACAACAACAACAGCAACAAAAGCTAAAGCCCTGCGATTGTGTAAAAACCATTTGTATTGTACTCAAACTATTTGGTATGCAATGCAGGTTCGATGTGCCATTGTGAGCGGTGTTGTTGTTGTTGCTGTTTGGTTTTTTCTAAGAAACACAAAAATTAAGTACCTTGATTTTTTTTTACTTTTTCATAAAAAAAACACAACAACAACATCAGTAATTACAACATAATGCTGGGTGGCTCTTCATTGCCACTGAGGATGACAAACTGACCAACCGACCAATCCAACCGGCCAGCGGTTTGATCTACTGCATTATTATGTAATTTTGATTTTTTTAGACTGCAAAACGGTAGCTGCCAGCCGGCAGCAGCTGCGGCTTGCATAGCTTTTTCGTTGTATGCGACAAGTGGAGGGAGGGGGAGGGGCCCATGGTAGTTTGATGGCTAAGTCTTTAAGAAAAACTCCCGCCAAAAAACAAAACCTGTCTCAAGCTAAACCACTTAAATCTCTTCCTCTTTATGTTGTGTCTCACATGTTTGCATAATGGAGTAAACATGGGTGCATGAATGTGTATGTGTGTGTGTGTGTGTTTGCGTGTTGTAACACCCTTGTATGTATGTGTGTTACACTTTTCCGCTCCAATTCCAGTTACAAACAAACAACTAGTATTGATTGATTTTTTCTCTCTCTCAATTTCAGATTTCCAACCATCATCATGAAGACCTCTGTGGCTTGTTTGGTGCTTGTCGCCATGTGCTTGGGCCTGGTTGCCTCCCAGAAAACCTATACCAACAGATTCGATAACGTCGATGTGGACAGTGTTTTGCGCAACGATCGCATCTTGACCAATTACATCAAGTGTCTGATGGATAAGGGTTCCTGCACGCCCGAGGGACGGGAACTGAAAAGTGAGTAGATACCATTTTTTCACAATCCACGTTTGTGGATCTTGAATTGAAATATTTCTTTTAATAAAATCCACTTTTGTGGAACTTGAATTAAAATATTTTTTTTAATAAAATCTACGTTTGTAGATCTTGAATTGAAATATTTTTTTTTAATAAAATCCACGTTTGTGGATCTTGACTAAAAATATTTTTAAAAACTCCACGTTTGTGGATCTTGAATTAAAATATTTTTTAATAAAATCCACGTTTGTGGATCTTGATTTTAAAATATTATTTTATAAAATTCACGTTTGTGGATCTTGAATTAAAATATTTTTTTAAATAGAATCCACTTATATAAAAACATTTTTTTTAAAAAATTCACGTTTGTGGATTTTGAATTAAAATATTGTTTTTTAACAAAATTTACGTTTGTGGAACTTAAATAAATTTTTTTTAAAAAATTCACGTGTGTGGATTTTGAATGAAAATATTTTTTTTAATAAAATCCACGTTTGTGGAACTTGAATGAAAATATTAAAAAAACACGTTTGTGGAACTTGACTAAAATATTTTTCAAAAAATTCAACATTCTGGATCTTGAATTAAAATATTTTTTTAATGAAATCCACGTTTGTGGAACTTGAATGAAAATATTTAAAAAAAAAACACGATTGTGGAACTTGAATGAAAATATTTAAAAAAACACGCTTGTGGAACTTGACTAAAATATTTTTCAAAAAATTCACCATTCTGGATCTTGAATTAAAATATTTTTTAATGAAATCCACGTTTGTGGAACTTCAAAGAAAATATTTTTTTAAATCCACGTTGTGGAACTTGACTAAAATATATTTCAAAAAAATCCACCTTTCTGGATCTTGAATTAAAATATTTTTTTAATAAATTCCACGTTTGTGGAACTTCAATTAAAATATTTTTTAAAAATCCACGTTTGTGGAACTTGACTAAAATATTTTTTAAAAATTCCACGTTTGTGGAACTTGACTATAATATTTTTTAAAAAATCCACATTTGTGGAACTTGACTAAAAATATGTTTTTAATTAACTCCACATTTGTGGAACTCGACTAAAAATATTTTTTGTTAATAAAATCCACGTTTGTGGAACTCGAATAAAAATATTTTTTTAATAAAATCCACGTTTGTGGAACTTGACTAAAATATTTTTTAAAAATCCACGTTTGTGGAACTTGAATTGAAATATTTTTTTAATAAGATCCACGTTTGTGGAACTTGAATTTAAATATTTTTTTAATAAATTCCACGTTTGTGGAACTTGACTAAAATATTTTTTAAAAATCCACGTTTGAGGAACTTGACTAAAAATATGTTTTTAATAAACTCCACATTTGTGGAACTCGACTAAAAATATTTTTTGTTAATAAAATCCACGTTTGTGGAACTCGAATAAAAATATTTTTTTAATAACATCCACGTTTGTGGAACTTGACTAAAATATTTGTTAAAAATCCATGTTTGTGGCACTTGACTAAAAATGTTTTTTTATAAATTCCACGTTTGTGGAACTTGACTAAAAATATTTTTTAAAAAATCCACATTTGTGGAACTTGACTTAAAATATTTTTTAATAAAAATCCACGTTTGTGGAACTTGACTAAAAATATTTTTTAAAAATTCCACGTTTGTGGAACTTGACTAAAATATTATTAAAAAATCCTCGTTTGTGGAACTTGACTAAAAATATGTTTTTTATAAAATGCACGTTTGTGGATTTTGAGTTAAAATATTTTTTAATAAATCCACGTTTGTGGATCTTGAATTAAAATATTTTTTTAATATAATTTTAAATTTTTTTGGGGAACTGGAATTAAAATATTTTTTAATAAAATCCACATTTGTGGATGTTTTTTATTTTTATTAAAATTATTTATTCTTAATTTATTTTTGTTTTGTTTTCAGAACTCTTGCCCGATGCCCTGCAGAGCGACTGCAGCAAATGTACCGATGTCCAAAGGAGAAATTCCCAAAAGGTGATTACCTTCTTGCGCACCAGACGTCCAGGAGAGTGGAAATTGTTGTTGGACAAATATGATCCCAATGGCAACTACAGGGCCAGACATAATCTCTAAATACCCAATTCCATGATTTTAAACCCACCCCAATCCTGCCTGAATGAAATCTTCATACATTGGAACCATCAACCCAACCACCCCACCACCTAATGAGAATTTACAAAAAAAATTGATTTTTTTCCAAACAGAGATTTTATTCAACAATGAATATCCCTCACCCATACCCACACACACATACATATATACAAATATATTTATATGGTATTTTATTATTTTAAAAAATTTATATATATATAATTTTTTTAATTAAATAAAAATTAAATTTTTTTAACATATACAATTCTATGGCTAACTTATCACGGAAAAACGCTTACAAATTAGGGGGGAAGGTTAGGGGGTTGGACTTAATTTTTTCTGTCTCAATTCTCTAATCAGACTATAGTATTTACAGAAGAACTCCTTGAAGGTCTGCTGTTTGATTAGCAGATATAATTTAAGGAAACTAATTAGGGATATAAATAGGAATAGGGCTATGAAGATGGGCTGGAGTATGGGGGCATATTTAATGTTCAGGTTGAGGGGAATTGAAATGCGGGCAGGGTATTCATCCAGATTCTGAAAGAGAAGAAGAGGTATTAGGAATATCCCCAAAGATCTTCTCCAAGCAGATACTTACAAATTCATACCAAAAATTGGGTATGACCATATTGCTTAGTTTTTGCAGATCCTGGCTATAGCCTTTCATGTCGGGCATTGGTATATTCGATTGGAAGCGGTAGCTTTCATCGATTGGTATACCGGTAAGGGGCTCCACGGTAATGCTGGGCTGATGTTTTTCCGGATCGGGGGCAAAGCCCACATAATGTTCTGAATAATTGTAGGAGGAGCCATAGAAATGGGGCAAAGAGAAGGCAGAGGGTACATCATCTGAAAAAGAAATTGAAAACAGAATATTTTTTTAACTTATTCTCTTCTTCCCCCCTCCCAAACACTTACTTATCAAACACTTGGCCACATCATACATCCCCTTGTGCAACTTTATGCCCATCGAATTGTCCATACAACTGGGTCGTTCATTGCGATCGCCGAGCAGATACCGATAACCCTTGAGGCCCATATGTTCGGCCGGTCCATCGTAATACATTTTCATGGTACGACAAGTTTCGACGGCCACAATATTAATATCGGCATCCTTTTGCAGCATTGGCGGAAACAGGGAATTGTCGAAGGCATTCTCCACAGTAATTGGGCAGTCCTCCTTGGGATCGGGATGTAGGAAATTGGCCCGCCTCTCGTTGAAATAGGTTTTGCCATTTAACTCTTCGACACGGAAGAAATTCTCAAAACCGTTTTTGGTGCCAATGCGTACCTTGTAGATTTCCGTTTTTTGGCGCATGGCCTGAAAAAAAAAAAATAAATAAAAAAATTGTGGATTTTTTAAAAAACAAAAATTTTAAGGCCAACAATAGGCTTGGATTTTTTAAATATTATTTTTCAATCCCTACAATAGGCGTGGCTTTTTCAAATAAATATTTTTCAATCCCAACAATAGGTCTGGATTTTTTTAATAAATATTTTTTAAGGGCTACAATAGGCCTGGATTTTTTTAATAATTTTTTTTTTAAGGGCTACAATAGGCCTGGATTTTATATAAAATTTTCAAGCCCAACAATAGGCCTGGATTTTTTCAAATAAATATTTTTCAAGGCCTAAAATTTTTGGATTTTTTAAAAATTATTTTTTAAGTCCTACAATAGGCGTGTTTTTTTTAAATCATTTTTCAAGCCCTACAATAGGCGTGGATTTTTTAAAAATTATTTTTTAAGCCCTACAATAGGCGTGGATTTTTTAAAAAATATTTTTTAAGCCCTACAATAGACGTGGATTTTTTAAAAATTATTTTTTAAGCCCTACAATAGGCGTGGATTTAAAAAAAAAAAATTTAATTCTTACAAAGAAGTGGATTTTTTTAAAATTATTTTTCAAGTCTTACAAAAAAATGGATCTTTTAAAAATTATTTTTCAAGCCCTTCTGTAGGCGTGGATTTTTTAATAATTATTTTTCAAGCCCTTCTGTAGGCGTGGATTTTTTAATAATTATTTTTCAAGCCCTTCTGTAGGCGTGGATTTTTTAAAAATTATTTTTTAAGGGCTACAGTAGGCGCGGATTTTTTAAAAATTATTTTTTAAGGGCTACAATAGGCGCGGATTTTTTAAACATTATTTTTTAAGGGCTACAATAGGCGCGGATTTTTTAAAAATTATTTTTTAAGGGCTACAGTAGGCGCGGATTTTTTAAAAATTACAATAGGGGTGGATTTCTTAAAAATGATTTTTCAAGCCCTACAATAGTCGTGGATTTTTTTTTAAATTATTTTTCAAGCCCTACAATAGGCGTGGATTTCTTAAAAAAATTTTAAGTCCTTCTATAGGCGTGGATTTCTTAAAAATTTTTTAAGTCCTTCTGTAGGCGTGGATTTCTTAAAAATTATTTTTCAAGCCCTACAATAGTCGTGGATTTTGAGTTTTGCCTTGTTAAGGCGAAGATCATATGTTTTATGATTTAAGTGTTTGTTTTCTCTTTCGAGACGAGCTTAATGATCTGAAATTTGCAGTGAAAAGGAAAGCCAGATAGACACTGTGGATTTTTTTTAAATTATTTTTCAAGCCCTACAATAGGCGTGGATTTCTTAAAAATTATTTTTTAAGTCCTTCTATAGGCGTGGATTTCTTAAAAATTATTTTTCAAGTCCTTCTATAGGCGTGGATTTCTTAAAAATTATTTTTCAAGTCCTTCTATAGGCGTGGATTTTTTTTAAATTATTTTTGAAGGGCTACAATAGGCGGAGATTTTTAATTTTTTGTTTCTAAATTACTATAGGCGGAGATTTTTTAAAAATTATTTTCAAATTACTATAGGCGTGGATTTTTTAATAAATATTTTTCAAGTCCTTCTATTGGCGTGGAGTTTTAAAAAAATATATTTTTTAAGTCCTTCTATAGGCGTGGATTTTTCAAAAATTATTTTTCAAGTCCTTCTGTTGGCGTGGATCTTAAAAAATTATGTTTCAAGTCCTTCTATAGGCGTTGATTTTTTAAAAATTATTTTTCAAGCCCCGTCAAATTTTGTTTATTCATTTCTGAATAAAATATTTCCATTGGACAATAGTTTAAAAATATTGTTTTTGTTTTTAATACCGTAATTGTTTCTATTTTTCGAAATTTGGCACTTGTTTATTGTCAATTTTTTATAGTTTATTGCCAAAAAGAAATAAATTGCAAAACATTAAAAATTAATTATCAAATTATTGATAAGCCTCATTCACAAAAAAAAAAAGATCGAGTAGACTAAACAGCCTGATTTAATAGTCGTAGTTCATTTGCCCCCCAAAAAAATGTTTCGCCGATTAGAATCTCGATGTTTATTGTTCCTTTAAGAGCTGCTGCTGATATGAGCATTAAAACATACGTTCATTTGACGTCATAGAAAATAATTGAATTTATTACTAATTTTATTAATTCTAATTGAAATAATGTGCGTAACAGAGGTTGGACATCTGCTAGAATAACCTAAGTAATTTTACAAACATAGATTTGATTGTAGCCGCCCTTCTGATAAGGGTTTGTCGTGTTACAATTTTGCATTTTCTAGATTATTTTTCCGTTTATCAATCAAAGATGCCCTATTGCACTGATATTTCATTATCGAAACTGGTATTTTTATATTTTCAAAATACCAGCAATATTTTGTATTTACTTCAAAAAAAAAAAAATTAAAGGGAAACATTTAGATGAGAAGCATTGATTAAAACGTAATTTTTGTATGGCAACAACAATGTAACGACAATTATCAGCTGATATTTTTCTACACACTCTTCGATTTTTTTAAATCAAATATTCCATTTTTTAGTTGAAAAGCCTCAGTTCTAAATGATTACAAAGAATATAAAAATTTTATCGAAATCTTTAAAACGGCCCAGGTTTTAAAAACTACGATAAAATTGTTATGCGGATATTAAATGCGGAATTGCGTTTTTCTCCAAGATAAAAATTGCAAGAAATAACATATTTGTGTTTCATTGTTTATCAATTCAATAACAGCTAATATCGACAGCCTTAAGATATGCAATAGATTTTGTTTGTGGTTTGTAGTGTCAGTTACTTAAATAACAGTCAATGTTACATCAAAGTTATGAGATGTATACGTATTAAAAATTGTGAACCTTTGTGGAGGAAGGTACCAGAAGAGTGGGCCAATGTCTCCAATCTTCACACCAGATCTTGTATTGATAAAAAATATATTAACAATAAAAATGTTTAAAAAATCCACGCTTATTGTAGGGATTAAAATAAAAAATAATTTGTAAACAGGTAAAAAAGCTGTAAGTAAGGCCGGCCGAACTTTGAATACCCTCCGCCACTTGGAACGAATTTGGCAATTTTCAAAAAATAAAATAAAATCTTAAAAATACCAAATGTAGCCGTCATATTAGGGTGTAAACGACGACGTGGACCTGCATAGGCAACTTTTGTCATAAGCCATTACAATATTCAAATGCGAAACTTGAAAAAAAAATCGGTGAATAATGTAGCTATGGGGGCTATACCAAAATGTGGGCCTGCACAGACAATTTTCTGCCTTGGGCTGCAGTATCCATTACGAACTTCAAATACCAAATTTGAAACGATTTTGGTGAATAATGTTGCTGAAATCGGCAAAAATACCGACTATCGGGAGGTACCGTTATATGGGGGCTATACGAAGACGTGGACCTGCATACGAAATTTTTCGCCATAGGTTGTAGTACCCATTACGATCTTCCAGTACGAAATTTGAAACGATTCCAGTGAATAATGCCGCAATAATCATCCAAATACCGAATATCGGGAGGTACCGTTATATGGGGGCTATACCAAATCGTGGACCTACATGACCCATTTTCAATACCAAAAGTCCTGCAGACATAATATACATTTGAATAAAAGTTTATTATTCTACTTCATTTCGTTCGGAAGCTAGAGTGATTTACACAGACGGACATCGTTAAATCGACATAGAACTTTATGCTAATCAAGAATATACTTTGTGGGGTCTAAAATGTATATTTCGAGGCGTTATAAACGGAATGACAAACTTAATATACCCTCCGTACTATGGTGGAGGGTATAAAAATCCACGTTCATTGTAGCCCTTGAAAAATAATTTAAAAAAATCCAAGCCTATAGTAGCCCTTGAAAAATAATTTAAAACAATGCAAGCCTATAGTAGCCCTTGAAAAATAATTTTTAAAAAATCCACGCCTATAGTAGCCCTTGAAAAATAATTTAAAAAAAAATCCAAGACTATAGCAGCCCTTGAAAAATAACTTTTAAAAAATCCACGCCTATAGTAGCCCTTGAAAAATAATTTTTAAAAAATCCGCGCCTACAGTAGCCCTTGAAAAATAATTTTTAAAAAATCTACGCCTATAGTAGCCCTTGAAAAATAATTTTTAAAAAATCTACGCCTATAATAGCCCTTGAAAAATAATTTTTAAAAAATCCACGCCTATTGTAGGACATGAAAAATAATTTTTAAAAATCAACCCCAATTGCAGGACGTGAAAATTTTTTTTCAAAAATCCAAAATTTTTAAAAAATCCAAGCCTATAGTAGCCCTTGAAAAATAATTTTTAAAAAATCCACGCCTATAGTAGCCCTTGAAAAATAATTTAAAAAAAAATCCAAGACTATAGTAGCCCTTGAAAAATAATTTAAAAAAAAATCCAAGACTATAGCAGCCCTTGAAAAATAACTTTTAAAAAATCCACGCCTATAGTAGCCCTTGAAAAATAATTTTTAAAAAATCCACGCCTATAGTAGCCCTTGAAAAATAATTTTTAAAAAATCCACGCCTATAGTAGCCCTTGAAAAATAATTTTTAAAAAATCTACGCCTATAGTAGCCCTTGAAAAATAATTTTTAAAAAATCCACGCCTATAGTAGCCCTTGAAAAATAATTTTTAAAAAATCCACGCCTATAGTAGCCCTTGAAAAATAATTTTTAAAAAATCCACGCCTATAGTAGCCCTTGAAAAATAATTTTTAAAAAATCCACGCCTATAGTAGCCCTTGAAAAATAATTTTTAAAAAATCCACGCCTATAGTAGCCCTTGAAAAATAATTTTTAAAAAATCCACGCCTATAGTAGCCCTTGAAAAATAATTTTTAAAAAATCCACGCCTATAGTAGCCCTTGAAAAATAATTTTTAAAAATCCACGCCTATAGTAGCCCTTGAAAAATAATTTTTAAAAAATCCACGCCTATAGTAGCCCTTGAAAAATAATTTTTAAAAAATCCACGCCTATAGTAGCCCTTGAAAAATAATTTTTAAAAAATCCACGCCTATAGTAGCCCTTGAAAAATAATTTTTAAAAAATCCACGCCTATAGTAGCCCTTGAAAAATAATTTTTAAAAAATCCACGCCTATAGTAGCCCTTGAAAAATAATTTTTAAAAAATCCACGCCTATAGTAGCCCTTGAAAAATAATTTTTAAAAAATCCACGCCTATAGTAGCCCTTGAAAAATAATTTTTAAAAAATCCACGCCTATAGTAGCCCTTGAAAAATAATTTTTAAAAAATCCACGCCTATAGTAGCCCTTGAAAAATAATTTTTAAAAAATCCACGCCTATAGTAGCCCTTGAAAAATAATTTTTAAAAAATCCACGCCTATAGTAGCCCTTGAAAAATAATTTTTAAAAAATCCACGCCTATAGTAGCCCTTGAAAAATAATTTTTAAAAAATCCACGCCTATAGTAGCCCTTGAAAAATAATTTTTAAAAAATCCACGCCTATAGTAGCCCTTGAAAAATAATTTTTAAAAAATCCACGCCTATAGTAGCCCTTGAAAAATAATTTTTAAAAATCCACGCCTATAGTAGCCCTTGAAAAATAATTTTTAAAAAATCCACGCCTATAGTAGCCCTTGAAAAATAATTTTTAAAAAATCCACGCCTATAGTAGCCCTTGAAAAATAATTTTTAAAAAATCCACGCCTACAGTAGCCCTTGAAAAATAATTTTTAAAAAATCCACGCCTATAGTAGCCCTTGAAAAATAATTTTTAAAAAATCCACGCCTATAGTAGCCCTTGAAAAATAATTTTTCAAAAATCCACGCCTATAGTATAATTTTATAATAATTTTTAAAAAATCCACGCCTATAGTAGCCCTTGAAAAATAATTTTTAAAAAATCCACGCATATAGTAGCCCTTGAAAAATAATTTTTAAAAAATCCACGCCTATTGTAGGACATGAAAAATAATTTTTAAAAATCAACCCCAATTGCAGGACGTGAAAATTTTTTTTCAAAAATCCACGTCTATTGCTTGGCATAAAAAATAATTTTTAAAAATCAACCCCAATTGCAGGACGTGAAAATTTTTTTTCAAAAATCCACGTCTATTGCTTGGCATAAAAAATAATTTTTAAAAATCAACCCCAATTGCAGGACGTGAAAATTTTTTTTCAAAAATCCACGTCTATTGCTTGGCATAAAAAATAATTTTTAAAAATCAAACCCAATTGCAGGACGTGAACATTTTTCTTTCAAAAATCCACGTCTATTGCTTGGCATAAAAATGCATTTTAAAAAATCCAGGCTTATTGCAGGGCATAAAAATACTTTTAAAAAATCCACGCCAATTGTAGGACAGGAAAAATAGTTTTTAAAAAATCCACGCAATGGTAGGGCTTGAAAAATAACTTTTAAAAATCCACGCCTATTGCAGGGCTTGAAAAACAATTTTTCAAATTTCCACGCTTATTGTAAGACTTGAAAAATACATTTTAAAAAATCCAGACTTTTTGCATGAAAATGAGTTTAAAAAAATCCAGGCTTATTGTAGGGATTGAAAAATAATTTTTAAAAAATCCACGCCTATAGTAGCCCTTGAAAAATAATTGTTAAAAAACCCACGCCGATTGTAGTTCGTGAAAATAATTTAAAAAAAATCCACGGTTATTGTAGTTCGTGATATATAATTTTTAAAAAATCTAATTTTATTTTCGGACTAGAAAAATAATTTTTAAAAAATCCACGCTTATTGTAGGGATTGAAAAATAATTTTTAATATTGGACTAGAAAACTAATTTATAAAACATCCGCGCTCATTGTAGTTGGTGAGAAATAATTTTTAAAAAATCTAATCTTATTTTAAGATTTATAAAAAAATCCGCGCTAGATATTGGACTTGAAATTTTTTTTAAAAATCCACGCTTTTGTACTTCTTGGAAAATAGTCTTTAAAAAATCCGCGCTTATTCGTGAAAAACAATTTCTATAAAAACATCCAGGCATATTGTAGGACATGAAACATAACTCTTAAAAATCCACCCCTATTGCAGGACATGAAAAAAGTGTATTAAAAATCTACCATAGTTTTTTTTAAGCCCATGACTGGGAAAATGATTCTCTCAAAATTCACGCTTATTGTAGCCCTTGATAATATAAAATTTTGACCAGATGCCTTTATTCTCTCAACTTCCACTTATTTTTCCCCTTTCCCAGCTCCATACTCACATTGTACAGCAACCCGCAATTCGACACAATATTTGGAAGATATTGAGACATTAGACTCAGTGCCGGCACCGTAAAGTCCCACAGGAAATAGTAGACACTCTTTGTCAAAAAGACCGATTCATTTATGGTAATGGCATTGAAGGCATGTCGCACCAAAAAGACCCAATCATGCAGTTTGGCTGCTGCGCCCAACAACACCATGTTGGGCAGCACTATGGTTTGATTCAGAATATCGGGGGCACAACTTTCGTCGGGCATGAATTCGACGTGTTCATAGCGTTTCTTGAGATACGTTATCGTATCTTCGGTCTGATTGAGTATCTCATTGTGACCAATGATGCTGTAGACAATCGGCCCGACTTCTTGGACATGGATGCGGCTGTCGTTGCCAGCCAAAAAGGCTTCGGCATTTGTCACATTGAAGAGATACATCTTTAGACGGCCATACGGTGAATCGACCCAATTTAATTGGGAGACGAAACCTTTACGAAACCGTATGTGTTCCTTGAGCAATTCATACTGATAGTCGACGCAGAGGGAGAGAATGGTAAGGCTAAGGAAGAGAACTCCCGAGATGCCCAGTAACACTAGTTTGGTTTTGAAACACTTGTTGCCTTTCATATTTTATTTTTTTTCCACCAATTTTTAGTTTTTCTTTTTTTTTAATTTTTTTTCTTTCACAATGTTCTCCTTTTTGGTTTTAAGACCAATATCACCACCAATATTTGCACCGTAACGTTTTATAGATTTTGAGTCTTGGCCGATTTTAAACGCGTCCGTTAAGTCCGACTCGAATTTCTCTATTAACCGTGGACGTATTTCTTTTAAGACGCATCGAACCCAACTAAGCCTGGAAAATCATTCATGTTGAGATTTAATTCCGAAAAAAATCTGTTCAAAAAAACAAATCTCCTCAGTATTTGCCGGCGCAAATACAAGTTCTTATCATCTGATGTCTGGTACTTGGTGAAGCGGGGGTACACTTAAAAAAACTGTAAATATCCTAGATTTTTTAAATCTTTTTTCATGGGCTACACATTTATTCAAGTTCAAGATGGATTTTTTTTATTTCAAAAGGTCCACAATAAATAAATATTTTCATGGGCTTCAATAAACGTGGATTTTAAAAAAAAATATTTTTCAAGTCTTACAATGAGCGTGGATTTGTTTTAAACTATTTTTCAAGTCTTACAATAGGCGTGGATTTTTTCAAAACTATTTTTCAAGTCTTACAATAGGCATGGATTTTTCTTTAAATTATTTTTCAAGACTCACAATAGGCGTGGATTTTTTAAAAATTATTTTTCAAGTCTTACATAGGCGTGGACTTTTTTAAAAATTATTTTTCAAGTCTTACAATAGGCGTGGATTTTTTTTCAGGTCTTACAATAAGCGTGGATTTTTTAAAAATTATTTTTTAAGTCTCACAATAGGCGTGGATTTTTTAAAAATTCTTTTTCAAGTCTTACAATAGGCTTGGATTTTTTTAAAAATTATTTTTCAGTTCTTACAATAGGCGTGGATTTTTTAAAAATTCTTTTTCAAGTCTTACAATAGGCTTGGATTTTTTAAAAATAATTTTTTAAGTCTTACAATAGGCGTGGATTTTTTAAAAGTTATCTTTCAAGTCTTACAAACAGGCGTGTATAAATTAAAAATTATTTTTCAAGTCTTACAAAATAGGCGTGGATTTTTTAAAAAATATTTTTTCAAGTCTTACAATATGCGTGTATTTTTTAAAAATTATATTTCAAGTCTTACAATATGCGTGTATTTTTTAAAAATTATTTTTCAAGTCTTACAATATGCGTGTATAAATTAAAAATTATTTTTCAAGTCTTACAAAATAGGCGTGGATTTTTAAAAATTATTTTTCAAGCCCTAAAACAGTCGTTGATTTTATACAAATTATTTTCAAGCCCTAAAACAGTCGTTGATTTTTTAAAAATTATTTATCAAGCCCTAAAACAGTCGTTGATTTTTTAAAAATTATTTTTCAAGCCCTAAGACAGTCGTTGGTTTTTTTAAATTATTTTCAAGGCCTAAAATAGGCGTGGACTTTTTAAAAATTATTTTTGATTTTTTAAAAATTATTTTTCAAGCCCTAAAACAGTCTTTGGTTTTTTAAAAATTATTTTTCAAGCACTAAACAGTCGTTGGTTTTTTAAAAAATATTTTTGAAGCCCTAAAACAGTCGTTGGTATTTTTTAACTTATTTTCAAGCCCTAAAATAGGCGTTGATTTTTTTAAAAATTATTTTTCAAGCCCTAGCACAGTCGTTGATTTTTTTAAAAATTATTTTCAAGCCCTAAAATAGGCGTGGACTTTTTAAAAATTATTAAAAATTATTTTTCAAGCCCTAACACAGTCGTTGATCTTTTAAAAATAATTTTCAAGCCCTAAAATAGGCGTAGACTTTTTAAAAATTATTTTTTAAGCCCTAAAACAGTCGTTGATTTTTTAAAAATTATTTTTCAGATCTTACAAAACACGTGGATTTTTCAAAAATTATTTTTCAAGCCCTAAAACAGTCGTTGATTTTTTAAAAAAATATTTTCCATGTTTTACAATAGGCGTGGATGTTTTTAAAATTAATTTTTCATGTCTTATAATAGGCCTAGATTTTTTAAAAATTATTTTTCAGGTCTTACAATAGGCGTGGATTTTTGTAAAAATTATTTTTCAAATTATCAGCAGTCGTTGATTTTTTAAAAATTATTTTCAAGCCCTAAAATAGGCGTGGACTTTTTAAAAATTATTAAAAATTATTTTTCAAATTATCAACAGTCGTTGATTTTTTAAAAATTATTTTCAAGCCCTAAAATAGGCGTGGACTTTTTAAAAATTATTAAAAATTATTTTTCAAATTATCAACAGTCGTTGATTTTTTAAAAATTATTTTCAAGCCCTAAAATAGGCGTGGACTTTTTAAAAATTATTAAAAATTATTTTTCAAATTATCAACAGTCGTTGATTTTTTAAAAATTATTTTCAAGCCCTAAAATAGGCGTGGACTTTTTAAAAATTATTAAAAATTATTTTTCAAGCCCTAACACGGTCGTTGATTTTTTAAAAATTATTTTCAAGCCCTAAAATAGGCGTGGACTTTTTAAAAAAATATTTTTCAGGTCTTACAATAGGCGTGGATTTTTTAAAAATTATTTTTCAGGTCTTACAAAAGACGTGGATTTTTTAAAAATTATTTTTCAAGTCCTAAAACAGTCGTTGATTTTTTAAAAAATATTTTCCATGTTTTACAATAGGCATGGATTTTTTAAAAATTATTTTTCATGTCTTATAATAGGCCTAGATTTTTTAAAAATTATTTTTCAAGTTTTACAATAGGCCTAGATTTTTTAAAAATTATTTTGTACTGATTTAAAAATAGAAACTTAAAAAATATTTTCATTATTTTTTCCTCTTTTGATTTCCTGACGGTGTACTTTTTTTCGGAATTGCCTTATCAGACATTTGAACCCCGCGTATATTGACGCTTATCAGTCAAGCTTAAAATGTATTTCTGATCACTTTTTTTGTTTTTATTTTTTGCTGAGGAGGCGAAGAGGATGCATATGTCCAGTGGATGAATGTTTGTTTATATCTCATAATGGAAAAAATGCCGGCTCGAACGGACCTACAGATAGGCGGCGGACAGACGAACGGAACGGAAGAACAAACTGAAGTTCAGACCGAACGACAAACAAGTGAAATTAAAGCAAACTGAAAAAAAAAATCGAAAGAAAATCATTGATAGTCGCAACAACTACGTGTTGCTTGTTTTCTTCGGTTTGTGCGGAAAGTAAGAAAATGAAAAATAAACAAAATGTTTTGAAGGTATTGCCGCAATGCATTATCAGGAGCAGACGACAGAGTTGACAAAGTGACAAGTGTCACACAATGTCAGAATCACATGTTTGAAATGGCTAAGAGAAGTATTAAATCAGTTATAGGAGGTTAATAGTTAACAGTTACATCTGTTAAGAGTTAACAGGACTCTGTTAAATGTTAACAGAGATATGTTAAGAGTTCAAAATGAATGGAAGTCTTATTAGAGGACTTCTATCTATTACGGGAAGTTAATAAAGGCATGATGGAAGTTAACAGAGTTATGTTAAGAGTTAACATATGTATGTTAAGAGTTAACGGTAGGCTGTTAAGCCTCAATAGAGCCTTGCTAACAATTATTTAACGTGTAGAAGATATATTTAAGGTTAACATAGTTCTGTTTTGAGTTAACAGAGTTCTGTTAAGAATTAACAGAGGAATATTAAGAGTTAATAGTTCCCTGTTAAACTTTTGCAGAGGTCTTGTAAAAGTCCACATATGTTTTTTGTATGTTACCACAATTATATAAAACTATAAAAGAGTTCTGCTAACATTTTGCAGAGCTCAGAATAAAATGGGAATTTTTACTTCACAAACTTAGCAGAACACTGCTCACAATTAACATTAGCCTATTAGTGGACAGCCAGATTTCCATATTGCTTTGTTAGTTAAAATATTTTTTAAACAAAGGGAAAAGTTCTCACAAATATATTCGACTATCAGCCAGTCAATCAATCAAGAGTTTATTTTTTACAAGGAAGGTATTTCAGGCATGACCTACATCTGCTGTAACGTTTGATAAGAGAAAACTTGAAAAGCACAGGGTTGTTTGTAGGAATGCAAAGAGCCCTCATAAGCTATCAATCTGTCAGTTATTAAAACATTTGATTGATGGGTTTTATTTTCCCGGTTTGTTTTCCGTTCTTGATTGAATGCTGGAATTTTGCAATGCAAACAAATTTATTTTAAAGCTGAAGTTTTTCGAAAACTTATTTCTGACAGATTCCGGGATTTATTTAAAATTTTTTTTCTGAAGGCGGCGTTTTTCTAAAAATTATTTTTCAAGTTTTACAATAAGCGTGGATTTTTTAAAAATTATTTTTCAAGTTTTACAATAAGCGTGGATTTTTTAAAAATTATTTTTCAAGTGTTCCATAAAACGTGGATTTTTTAAAAATTATTTTTCAAGTCTTACAATAATCGTGGATTTTTGAAAAATTATTTTTCAATTCATTAAGTAAGCGTGGATTTTTTAAAAATTATTTTTCAATTCATTAAGTAAGCGTGGATTTTTTAAAAATTATTTTTCAAGTCTTACAATAAGCGTGGATTTTTTAAAAATTATTTTTCAAGTTTTACAATAATCGTGGATTTTTTAAAAATTATTTTTCAAGTGTTCCATAAAACGTGGATTTTTTAAAAATTATTTTTCAAGTCTTACAATAATCGTGGATTTTTGAAAAATTATTTTTCAAGTCTTACAATAAACGTGGATTTTTTAAAAATTATTTTTCAAGTCTTACAATAAGTGTGGATTTTTAAAAGTTATTTTTCAAGTCTTACAATAAGTGTGGATTTTTTAAAAGTTATTTTTCATGGACTTCAATTAGCGTGAATTTTTTAAAAATTATTTTTCAAGCTTTACAATAAGCGTGGATTTTTTAAAATTTATTTTTCAAGTCTTACAATAAGCGTGGATTTTTTAAAAATTATTTTTCAAGTCTTACAATAAGTGTGGATTTTTAAAATTTATTTTTCAAGTCTTACAATAAGCGTGGATTTTATAAAAATTATTTTTCAAGTTTTAAAATAAGCGTGGATTTTATAAAAATTATTTTTCAAGTTTTACAATAAGCGTGGATTTTTTTTAAATTATTTTTCAAGTTTTACAATAAGCGTGGATTTTTTAAAAATTATTTTTCAAGTTTTACAATAAGCGTGGATTTTTTTAAAATTATTTTTCAAGTTTTACAGTAATTTCAATTCATTAAATAAGCGTTTGAAAATAAATATTTGAAAAACAAGAATTTTGT